ACGACCAGGAGAACGAGCAGCAGTACGTGCCGCTCAACAACCTCGGTGGCGACCAGGCGCGTTTCGTCGTGTGCAACTCATCGCTGTCCGAGTACGGCGCGCTCGGGTTCGAGCTCGGTTACTCGCTCGTCTCGCCGAACGCGCTCACGATCTGGGAGGCGCAGTTCGGCGACTTCGCGAACAACGCGCAGTGCATCATCGACCAGTTCATCGCGTCCGGCGAGCGCAAGTGGTTCCAGCGCACCGGCCTCGTCGTCAACCTTCCGCACGGGTTCGATGGCCAGGGCCCGGAGCACTCGAGCGGGCGCATGGAGCGCTTCCTCCAGCTGTGCGACGACCACCCGCACGTGTACCCGACCCCGGAGAAGATCGAGCGCCAGCACCAGGACTGCAACATGCAGGTCGTGTACCCGTCGACGCCCGCGAACTACTTCCACGTCCTCCGCCGGCAGATCCACCGCGACTTCCGCAAGCCGCTCATCCTGTTCTTCTCGAAGTCTCTCCTCCGCCACCCTCGCGCGCGCTCGGAGCTCTCGGACATGGTTGGCGACACCCACTTCCAGCGCTACATCCCCGAGCCCCATTCCCACGACCTGGTCGCTCCCGAGCAGATCCGTCGCCACATCCTCTGCACAGGTATATTTCTTCCTGGGCTCATCCGAATGGTTCTCTGACAAGTGTATGTCTCGCAGGCCAAGTCTACTACACGCTGCTCCAGGAGCGTGAAGAGAAGGGCATCAAGGACGTCGCGATCAGCAGGCTAGAGCAGCTTTCGCCCTTCCCTTACGACCTCGTTCGTGTCCCATCACGATTCATACATTCTTGCCATACTAACGTCCCATCGTAGTTGACGCCTCACCTCGACAAGTACCCCAACGCGGACCTTCTCTGGTGCCAGGTAAGCCTGCCCGCAGGTATGTCATGCATAACACATCGCTGACCATTCTGCGCCTGTGTAGGAGGAGCCCATGAACAACGGCGCATGGTCGTACGTCGGTCCCCGCATCCTCACCGCTGCGAACGAGACGCAGCACCACAAGGGCAAGTACCCGCTCTATGCCGGCCGCGAGCCGACGAGCTCTGTCGCCACGGGCAGCAAGGTATGTCTACCCAGACAGAAATATATGCATGCAGACCGATGGCTGACGTGCGGCGTACAGGCGTTGCACAAGAAGCAGATCGAGCAGTTCCTCGCGGAGGCGTTCAAGCAATGAACCGATGCATGGTGCCAGTCTGCATAGAGGGTTGGCCTACCAAGCCTGTCAGTACTTACTCGGAAGCCAGTGCAGGGGCATCTTGGCGAACAAAAACAGCGGACTCTCGTCTATGTCTGGTATCTAGTACAGCCTAGCCTATATCTAACGTGTCCGATAGTAGCTCGCGGAATGGATATCCGTCTAATGTCGTCATGCATGAGCGGCGTAATACGAGTGTCTGGCTGGGGGCTATATCGCTACGGCAGCTTGAATGGGCCCCTTGTGGCCCTCCGTACGACTAGGCAATGATTCAGTGGTGTCGACTCGTGGTCACTTTGCATCATGAGATGAGGACCGCGTTGCTTCAACAAGCCATAGTAGTTTATTACACACATAACAGTACTAATAACACATGGGATACGATGCGATGGACATTCCGAGTCGTAAGTGGTCGTGAACAGATCATGGCGGAGTGCGTGTGGTATTAGTGAATACAATATAGATGACGGGTCGTCAACAAAATGGATGAACCTAAGACTCAAAGTCATCGTGTATACGGCTGTGATGAGGGGGGTATAGAGTTGATACAACGTCCAGGGTCAAAGATCAGTATATACAAGGATCGTGGGAGGACCGACGCCTCTGTCGTACGCAACCGTGCTGAGTTGGGGCGATGCCGTTCGGAGCAGCGTGCGCGAGAAGTTCAGTCGACGTAGACCTCCGTACCAGGAGTCCACTTCGCCTTGGGGGTATACTTAAGGGTCGGGTCCTGCATTCGCTCGCGCACCGTGACATGGAACTTTGGCGGCGCATCCGTGGGAACGTCTCGCCCTCTGCCCATATGGATCCTGCAGCAAGACAGATGTTAGCCTAGCCGTCGGCTTCTCATAGCGTTCCTGTCTACAATTGCAGACGAGGGACGAAGATCACACAAAGGCAAAGGCACGCACCACCACTTGGTCTTCCAATTGCCTGCGGCGTCTTGATAGGTGCACGAGGTCGGGATGATCTCGAGCAACCACCACGACTTGGTGATTTGGAGCTCGTCGTGAAGTGGCGCTAGAGCATCGGCGCTCGTGTCCAGGGGGTCCGTGGACGAACCGCTCGAAGAGCCAGAGCGAGTCTTCGGGGCAGGGTCCGCTGTGCCTGGAGGATTCGGGACATCCATCCTTTGGGCGGCGGGCCTCTGACCATTCGCGGGTGTTTGATAGACAGCCGTGACGGAGCTCGACGCGGCGACGTCATCGTCGTCATCAATGGTAAACCCATGGGGGTGCAATTCCCTCGAGAGTGTCGTCTGGGAGGGAAGAACGAAGCCCGTGCCACGGAAGATGGACTCGGGGATGTTCGCGCGCACCAGGGCAGCCTCGTCAAAGGCAATGCCGCATTGAGCCAGAACGACCTCGCGCACCATCCAACGTAGCGTTATGTCAGACAGGCTAACCGTAACGTCGTCGGCTACTGAGCCGCCACCAACGTCTGCAGATTAGCACATGAGATACGGTTTCAACGTTTAAGCTTAGACGTGATGAGCGTACATACCAGTGTGACATCCCGCGAACCATACCTCCAAAACATCCGTCCCACCCTCAATCTTGTTACCCAAAGCGTTCTCCGCCAAGTGTAATGGGCTGGCAGGCGTGGGGACGATTCCTTCGCGAACATCCTCCCTGGCGCGGTCCTGCTGCAGCTTGGCTTTCGCCACCTTGACTGCGGAACGGCGAGACGCTTTGAGCCATCGAGGAAGCAGTGACTTTGCGGATTTGCGCTTCCACTCCTTCACATTCATCGAAGTATGCTGCGACGCCGTTCGCGCCTCGCTCTGATCACAACGATCGAATCCAGGCGTAGAGAAGGCGCTATTTCCGGTGGACTTCTCTGCCGGGGTGGCTCGATGGTAGAAGTTGGGCAAGAATCTCACGCGATGCTAACATTTCAGTCAGTCACTGGCCAAACCAGGTCCATGGTATAACATTTGTACCTCATCCAGAGCGAGCGCATGTCTGAACGTCTTGACAGTCGTATTCGCCGTAGTGAAAGGCAGTGTACGCGTCATCAGAACCCCAACACTCGAGACGGTCTCCCTGTAGAATCATGAGCATATTATCAAACGCATACACCGACGAGGAACCTCACCAAACGCCTACAAACTCGATTTCGACGCTCCTGCAGAAAGTTTGCTTGAAACCTGCGGCCAACTCGAGGCTACCCTTGTCCGTCTGCTTGTACAGTTTGTATGCGAACGGAATCTGTTCTGTGTTGTCTCTGGGAAGCAGCCCGATCTATGAGTTATCGATGAAATAGTTAATCCCATTGAATCCGGAAATTTCAGGGTGCTCCTCCTCACCTTGTGAAGCATCCCTGCGAGCGCTCTCGCTGTGTATGCACCTCTGGAGAAGCCTAGTCATACGACACAGGGTACGTAACGTGTTCTCTATTGCGCTTCGGCAAAGGCTTACCGAAAAGACAGATTCTGTCACCAGCAGTATAATTCTCCATCAGAAACTGGTAGCCTCCGCGTACGTGCGCGTCGAGGTACCTGATAGGCGCAAGTTTGAGAATGAAGGGATAGAGGGACAGTGTGAAACGCACCATGCGAAAGCTTCGTCGAGGATCTTGGCGGCCCATTGGAAGAGCGGGGATACAACGCCTGGATTAAAGTACGTTCCAACGCCAGGCTGGATATCCTCGGGTTAGGACAGTCTGATGGGCGCTCGTTGAAGAACCGTAACCATTATGACGTCGGGCGCAGCTCCGGTGTTCATAACGAACGGGAACTAGGAGGTGGGCACAATGCATTGCATGCTATTGCATGCCGACGGGGTAATTCCCGCCCGCGCTGTATCAAGCTCACCTGGTAGTAGCATAACTGCTCAGTATTATCGTCATCCTTCTTGAGCAGAGAGTAAAATTTGACAACGTTGGTATTCTGGGGGATACCTCGTGAGCTTTGTAGCAACTACTGAGCGACTACGGACGCACATCACCATCGTACTGCTCTGCAGTGCCGTCGAAGCAGAGAATGAGTGTGCGAGGTTTGGGGACGTCTACGGTAGATGAGCTCTTGGCCTCTGGAATTTCAGGCGAAGAGGGAGACGCTGCGGGCGGACCGGAGGAGGACATAACGATGGTACTGGTCGGGGCGCAGAGAGCTGCGTCGAGGCTGGGAAGAGCAACGGTGGTCGTGGGCTATAAGTAGGGGATAGAGGGGCCCTGAAGATGGAGGTGACGCGGTTGAGGGATCGGGTGACGGGGTTCTCAACGCTCATGTGGATGAACACTATCAGTCTCGGGAGAGAAATCCATCGGTTTGGGTACGGTGGGCCGAGCAGTCGAACGAGACGGCAGCGACGGCCAAGAGAAAAGTCATGGTAACATCCACCCTGGAGGAGGCATTGCACGTTCGCCACATGATCCACGACTGCGCGCTGCACGATCTCCGTACAAACGTTCATACCGTCCCATACCTTCTCCTTATGCGGAAGCTTCGGTTCTTGAGCTTCTCAGGCAACTCTATAGGCAACATGCTCCGTTCACTAGCCTATTTCTGTGAGACTTCCACGAGAAGCCATCTCGCATGAGTAAGAGAGGGGTAGCTTCCCACCAGGATAGAAGATGGGGACACTAGATCGTCGCAGAGTAAAAATTGACTATCGTAGAATGGTGGAAAGCGTTTCATGAGTTACGCAGTTGAGGTTGTTCGATAATCTCTGTCCAGGAAAGGAAGAGAGACACGTGTGTGCACCCTAAAGTTGACTTGGTGTAACAAATGTATATGGACACATAAATTTGTTTTAACTGTAAGCCTTCTTAGCTCAGTGGTAGAGCGCGCCACTCGTAAACAGCTACGGCTGATTCGGTAATGGTGAGGTCGGTTGTTCAATCCAGCCAGGAGGCATTCCTTTTGATCATTTTGACGTGGTAATTCTCTATGCCGACGCCAAAGCTGGAATGGCGAGGTACAAGTTATACTCAAACTACGAGCAGTCGACGCTCACTTAAACCATCAGGTTCATACACCAAAATGCACAGGGTTCCGGTACTTGATAACACTTCATGCAATGCATGTACCTCCAGCCAAGTTGTCGTAACCTTTCGCCGCTCAAGTAGGTTGTGTGACCGGCGAAGCACATCGAGAGCTCTCACGAGCCAGCTTATTCGACACGCCGTGCGAGTAGTACTCGTACGCGTATCAGCCAATTCAGAGACTGGGATGCCTAAATGTGCTGCATTCGTTCACATTGACCATCTCACTAGTTCCAACTTTAGCGGACAGGGCCACTTGCCAATGCACCGCACTTCGCGGCGTACCTCATCTCCCCGTAAAAAGTGGCAGGCGAATCCTAGTATTTAAATGTCTTGCTCCGGCTCGACAGCCACCGTGCTAGTGCCCACTGACGTGCCGTGCTTAGTTGCCGGAAGGCAGACACCACCCCTTCGCGAAGTGGAAGGAAGTTCGCTCCACACAAGCATACGATGCGTTCATTCGCCACGTCCTCGACTGGGACATAACACGGCCGCAGCTCGCTTCTGCGAGAAACGTAAGGATGGTCCCCAAGGCCACCAGCAAGAGCCCCGGGATACCCGGCGGCCCCAACGGTCTCTAGACTTCAAACAAGGTCACTTTCATCTACGAGTTCGCGATCTACCGGTACCCAACCTGCAGAGCCTGGTTTTGATCGGCATCGACCAATGGCTGCAGTGGACCGCTCATGCCTCGCTTCGTCTACTGTTCTCCTCTTTCCTGCGTATCGGGGCGATGACGCTGAGCTTCTGCCGGTTCATATTCTTGAGCATCTTCCGACGACGAGTCGTCGCTCTTCCTGTGTTCCCTGCGTTGTCCGCTGTGGTTGCCTTGTGGCTTACCACGAGCCCTACTAGTACACCTATGCAGGTAGGAGCAACCCACAGTCCGTTTCCCCGCTTCGCCCCGCCCCGCCTCCGCATGGCAGCTTCTCCAGTGCATCATCTGTGCATTGAGGAAGACAGTTGCTCTCGAATGGCTCGGCACGCCGCCATTCCGAGAGACCCTCCGGTCGGTGAATTTCCGTCTCAACGGAAGGCCAGACTGTCGACGCACCATCGCAATCCTTGAGCTCCTCTCTATACGCACTCGAGCTTGGCTTCCTTTCCAGAAACAGCATGAGTTTGCACTGTCCGGGGAGAGCTAACGGTTCGCGGGGCTTTGCAACCTTCAAGACTTCCGACTGGACATCGCACCAAGGGCATTGAGACTGGGACAGCGAACGTGCTGGTAAGCAAGTTCGAAGCTCCACGGCAATAATATACAACACAATACATGGATATAGCGTACAGTCCGCCTCCAAGGTGGAACACGGTATCGTCCTACTACCGGCATAACTTCCACATCCCGTCCTTGACCATCACCAAGCCCTCTCTCCGCGCCGCCTCCATGAACTCGGCGAGCTGCTCGATGGTCCGGTCGTACCCTGGGGCGAACTTGAGCATGGTCTGAATCCGGGCCAGAGGCAGCGATCCTAGGTTCGTGAGCATGCCCTCGATGAACTGTGAGAGAGAAAATGCCGAGTTAGCGAGGTCCGGCAGATACGAGGATTAGCGAGATGACTGGCCTTCCAGTAGACCTTCATCTGCTCTGCCTGCTGTTGCTGGATCGTCAAAGCGGGTGTTGGCTCTTCGACAACCGGCACTGCCGAGTCAGCGTCAATAAAGTGCTGTATCGGAACTGACAGACAGGAATGTACCTGAACGAGCAGGAGCCTTGGAACCAGATGGCGCGGCCTCCGCGATCTCCAACAACTTGTACCTGCTCTCCGCTTCCTCCTTGAGGACACCTAAGTCTATCCAAGTCGTGAGGGACTTCAGAATGGCGGCCTTTTCGACGGACTGTAGTTCCGCGACGAGCTCGTCGACCGTCCAAGTATCTGTCGGAAGGGGTCGCCTGGTTAGCAAAGTCGGAGGGATGCTTCTCAATGCTACTGCAGTACCTTTCTGGGAAAATAACTCCACGATCGAGGCCTCGAGCGGAGGCACCTCGGCCGTGATCGTTCGGTCTTGTAGCTCAATATCGAGCTTGATGGTGCCGAGGTGAGAAAGCCAATGCAGACGCTTGTCTGGCTTGAATAAGTGGAATTCTTTTGCATACGATTCCTGGATCCTGCCGAGATGTTCATGAGTTGTGACTCGACAAGCCACATCAGCCGTTCGACGTACTCTCTAAACTGCCCGGGCATGGTAAAGCTGCTCGTCTGCAGAGGCGGCCAAAAGTGTCGCGAGATGATAGTGGGATGAAGCGGCATCTGATGTGCGACGTCAGCCTTGTGAAGGCGATCAGAGAGTCAAGTAACACGCACAGATTTCTGCGCTTGTACATGCTGGTCGATACGACGCGAATCCGTCATATCTCGCAGCATGACTTCACAGACTTGCAGTGCTGCCTCCCCGAAGCGGATTTTGAGAATCTCAATATTTCTTCTCTGTTCATCGGTTAGTCAAGACTGCTCGGAGTATCACAAATACTGGAGCACGTACCTCTCGCTCGTAGTTGCCGTCCTTGACGGCGAGCAATCTTTGCGTCAAAAGCACTTGCAGCTCCTTGACGAACAAATCCTTCGAGTTGTATATGCTGACCAATGTACTTATGACATCACTGGGTTTGTTCGTCCGGAAGTCTAGGCAACATGCGTGAGACACGAGCGTCGGTTGTACTGACTCCTCAGTATGCTTACCTGGTCCGGCATCTATTGGTTCGGGCTCCCAATTAGGGTCGTTGTAGTCATCGGCTTGCATTTGCTGCAGCGGCTGAATCGGCTCGTTCTCGTCGACTAGGGATTCACCGCTCTCCCCATCGCCTACGAGGCTTGCCACGATACAACGTATAGTGTCTGGTCTCTCTCTGAGCGAACACAGTTGTCAGTCACGGCGATAATTGTCTACCATCAACGCGAGATCCACCTTAGGTACTTGCGTATAGGATCCGCGACCTTGTAAAGCAGAACGCCAGGCGGGTCGATGATTCGTAGACATCGAATGATAGAGACATATTGAGTCAATATATCCTTGGTATCGGCGCCAGGATGAAGTAGACGTTTCTTGTTTCTATTAACTACGTCAGCGCATACAACTTCCCCGGGTAACAAATGCACCTTACGCTTTCCGTAATGTGATAACTAGTTGACTGCGTTGATCTACGCGCTGTAAGCATTCCTGAAGACGACCACGAACTCGGTTAACCATCATGTCGAAATCCTCAAGGCCAGGTCGTGAGGAAGCGACCTTCAGATCCTGCAGCGCACTCTGAGAGTCAGGATGGTCAATGATTATGTCGAATATCTCTTGTATTCTGAGGCACAGGCGGTAAGGCCAGAGATCACGTGTATATTCAGTTGACATACCGGAGGTCGCAGAGTGTTTTGCAGGCGTGATAGTCAAATCTTGAACCCACACCCTGCAACATGGTGCGCGCTTCCTCGGCTAAATTGGATGAATTAGCTGTCGGAGGTGCTGCACGCGCTCAATTGTCGTACGAACCATTTCTAGCACCCCGCGCGTATGGCATGATCATCCAAGGGACTATCTTCTCGGTCATCCATTCCCTTAGTTTTGGCAACATGGGCTCATCCCACTTCTTGGCGCACGTTTCATACACGTGTGCCTCGATGTGTTCGTAACATACGCTAGAGATGAGCGACTCGTACCGATCTAGTAACCCTAGCGTTTCGCAAGCAGTCCAGAGCATATAGTCCGGGCGCGGTTGTTGTTCCGTGGGTGGTAAGTCCCTCGGTATCGCCCATGGTGGTGGGCAAGACGCGTTCACAAGGTCAAAAGTCGAGGCTATCAGCTCCTTGAAGCCGCGAGAGAAGGAAGGAGGGAATATGGAGAAGATGTGAGTCTGAAATGCGAGAGTATAAGCAGAGAGAATGGTTGGCCCTAGCCTAACATGTTCCGAATGAGAGGCAACGTCTGAACAGCGCACACAACTGAACTCACTCTGCTATGGGTTTCCATGCGTTATACCATGCCACGAGACGGAATATCAGTTGCATGATGGAATCCACTTGACTTGTTGTCTATATGTGATATTGCGGTAAGAACTTATGGAAGTTGTGCCGTCCTAAGACGTACCTCGTATTCGTCGAGATATTGGCGTACCTCCCGCTCAATGAGGTGCTGCTGCTTTCGCATATCATCTAACCAGTATCTAAATTCGAGATCTCTCCATTAGTTCTACATGTAGCCATACCAAGAAAGTTCTCCAGTAGCATAGAGAGCATCTTGGCCTTTCCTACGAGGTCGAAAGCTGCGCGAACTTGTTGCATGTCTTGTGGTTGAATTCAGCATCCGCAGGTAAGCCTCACGGCAATACTGAGACACACCGTGGGTTTTGACAGAACCAGGGTCATTGATATCCCTGGGGTGTAGGAACTCCGACGCGACCTTCCAAGCCTAATTTGACCAGCAAGTCTGACATTCCAAGAGCTACACCGAGATGACATGGGTGGCTTACCTCGCTGAAGGAAAGCAGCCCCTGTATACCTGGCTGTGTGCCATTTAAACGTTCAAACGCCCTCTGCCATTTCGCCGCTGTGTGTAAGCGAAGCGCGTCCGTGGCCATTGCATGTAACCAGAGGCCCGTAGAGCACCAGAAGTCGAAGATCGAGGATGGAGGAGAGTTACAAGCCACAATCTGGAGGAGGCGCCGGGCGCGTCGCGTCGCGTGCGCGTTGTTTGGGACGCGACCCGATAAGCGCCTGATCTCTTTCTGTCCTTGACTCTCAACTTGCAACAATCGCTACGGGGGCGAACGGAGAAACTCTGTCACTATCTTCTCTCGTAGCGCAGATATTGCACAGCTTGTGCTATGGCAGACTTTGCTGAGGATGTTCAAACGTTGGCTTACAAAAATGTCAACGGTTTGAC